GTGTTTGTGGATGCTGGGGGGAATGAATCGGTGAAATTTAAGTTGAATGCTTGTAAGAGCTTGGGGCTAATTGATTTCAGTGGCTACAATCTGCTGCCGGCAGGTGGGCACACCATTGTGGTCGGAGATGGAGATGTTTCTTTCCCTTGGCTACAATCTGCTGCCGGCAGGTGGGCACACCATTGTGGTCGGAGATGGAGATGTTTCTTTCCCTTTGCAGCTTAGCTTCCATGGGAATTAAGGTTGTGTTTGTCCTTCGTGGGTATTGTTTATGGATTTTGTAGGGTTATCTGTAGGGTGTAGGGTAGGTTAGAGTCTTCTTGTGTAGGGTAATTAAGAAGTGGTTCTAGGAGATTAACCACATTATCTTCGGTGAATAATGTTAATAAAATCATAAATTGTTTAGAAGAAACCAATTTCCTCAATTTAACCCAATCATATTCATTTATAAAATTCGAATATTTTAAGATAAAGATACGTACAAATAATAACTAAATCTTGAGAATACTACCAATCAAATAAAAAATATTGACAGATTATTGATATCTCAAATATATTCTATAATTAATATATTCTTAAAATATTAACGGCAAAATAAACTAAGAATAAGAAGGATGGAGTTATTCTTAGTTTAAAATTATAATAAAGGCTTAACTCAAATAATTTATTTAAAAAATAAAATATCAAATCATGGTAGGTTAATTAGCATGTTTTGTCTGTGTATTAGCGTTCTATTTCAATCTCTATATTAATTTATACTTTCTATTTCAATCTCTATCTTAATTTCCTTCTATTTTAATCTCTATGCAGCTAAATTTATTTATTTATAAACTTCTTCCTTCAATAAATTTCTTCATTCAATTTTAGTAGGTTTTCTTTCGTAAAAAACAATATTAATTAAAATAAAATTATTTGATAATTTCTATTTACATTTATTTGACATTAAAAAAATAAAAAAATAAAAAAAACATCCTATAAGCAAAAATTATATAATTATAATATATAAGGTTAAAATTTAATTATATTTTAATCCTGAAATTTTCAAAAAAGTGTTCAATTCTTTTAATTATTTAATTTATTTCTATTAGTTACTATTAAAAAAAATGTTTTATTTCTGTATCACTCAATGAATAATCCAATTATTTACAACTTTCAATTATTTTCAATTATGGATATAACTTTCAATCATTTAAATTGCACACAAAAAAATGGAAATAATTAGAATAATATGAACTTGATAAAATAAGATAAGAATTTGTCGTTTGAATTAGAAATTTTGTTAAGTTTAAACCAAAACAAAAGGTTCTAACTCAAAATGAAATTTTATTTGGATAATGATTTGAAATTAATATTTCTATTTAGATAATATTTGAAATTAATATTTTGTTTATGGCTAATTTTATTTAGATAATATTTGAAATTAATATTTTGTTTATGACTAATTTAATTTTATTTAGATAATATTTGAAATTAATATTTTGTTTATGACTAATTTAATTTTATTTAGATAATATTTGAAATTAATATTTTATTTATGACTAATTTTATTTGGATAATGATTTGAAATTAATATTTTTTTTTATGAATAATAAAAAATATTGAAAATTCTCAATTACAACCTAACTACTAACAAGTAATGAAACACACACTATAAATAAAGTAGCATAGTTAGAATTTGTACTCACTCAGTGCTGAGTACAATTTAAAATACAATGGCTCAATCATCAATTTTCATTGTCTCCGTTTTTGTCGGGTTCTTTATTCTGACAACCAGTTCTAGACATTTACCTGGAAGAACACTAGATGGCCCGTCGGCTAGCAACTTCACTTTTGTTTGTGATCCGATTCGATTTACCAATTTGAAATTAGATATTTCTTCATTTCGCTTTTGTAATACATCTCTCTCTTTTTCCGAAAGAACAAAGGATCTAGTAGATAGAATGACATTGTCTGAAAAAGTTGCTCAACTTGGCAACGATGCCCCTGGAGTAGCCCGCCTCGGTTTACCACCGTACAATTGGTGGTCGGAGGCTCTTCATGGCATCTCCAATGTTGGCCCTGGTACACGATTTGACAATGTTGTGCCAGGCGCCACTAGCTTCCCCAATGTCATCAACATGGCAGCATCTTTCAATGAAGCTATGTGGAAAACAGTTGGTCAAGTGAGTCGACAGCTTTCGACCTATAGAGGAGGTTACGTTACTACTAACGACTTAGTTTGAAAATTGGACATGTTGTGTTTTGTTTTTATTAGGCGGTTTCGACCGAAGGAAGAGCAATGTACAATCTAGGGAGGGCTGGATTGACATATTGGAGTCCAACCATCAATGTAGTTCGAGATCCAAGATGGGGACGAACCTTGGAAACGCCTGGCGAGGACCCTTTTGTGGTTGGCAAATATGCAGCGAACTATGTTAGAGGTCTCCAAGATGTGGAAGGAACTGAAAATGCTACTGATTTGAACTCTAGGCCTCTCAAGGTATCTTCTTGTTGCAAGCACTTTGCTGCTTATGATGTCGACAATTGGAAAGGTGTCCATCGCTACACGTTCGATGCTAGGGTAAGAACAACGTTCATATAAATTATCAATGGAAATAAAAGACATCTTTAATGCTTTTTTTTTTTTTCCTACTAACGTTGTGGATTAGGTGACTGAACAAGACATGTTGGAGACATTCCTTAAGCCATTTGAGATGTGTGTTAAGGAAGGTGGTGTCAGCAGTGTGATGTGTTCTTACAACAGAGTTAATGGCTATCCAACTTGTGCTGATCCAGTTCTCTTGAAGGACACCATTAGAGGCGATTGGGACCTTCATGGGTATAAATGAAATTAAAATAAAATATAATATAACAAAAAAGGATTAATTAAACCATATAAATATATATATCTCATATTGATTATACTTGTTTCTTCAGATACATTGTTGCGGACTGTGACTCAGTTGAGGTTATGGTTAAATATCAACATTTCCTAAATGATACAAATGAAGATGCTGTTGCTCAAACTCTGAAAGCAGGTAAATTTATTTACTATTTTTTCAATTTCTTCTTCTGGGTAATGTTTTTTTGTGTTGTTCTACAAAACCCATGAATCAATTTCGATTCTTTCATATGACAATTTTCAGGGTTGGATTTGGATTGTGGTGTACTTTCCCCGAAATACGCAGAAAGCTCGGTAAGGCAAGGGAAAGTTAGAGTGAAAAACATTGACAAAGCTCTAAACTATCTCTACGTTGTTCTAATGAGACTTGGATACTTCGATGGAAGCCCTAAGTTCCAATCGCTTGGAAGCAAAGATATTTGCAATGATGAACACATTGAATTGGCCACTGAAGCTGCCAGACAAGGAATTGTTCTTCTCAAGAACGATAATGACGCTTTGCCTCTTGATCCTGCTATTATCAAAACCCTGGCTGTTGTTGGACCCCATGCCAATGCCACTTATGTCATGCTTGGCAACTATGCAGGTCAAATTCTTGCCCAAAAACTCAACCTTTTCAATCAATGTTCTTCATGTGAATTTAGTAGAAGTATAAATGTTGCGTTTGTTTTGTTGCAGGAGTGCCATGCCGAATGAAATCTCCAATTGATGGGCTATCAGAATATGCAAAAGTGAACTACCAAATGGGTTGTGAGAATGTTGCTTGCAAAAATGATACCTTCATATTTGAAGCCATGGATGCGGCCAAGAACTCTGATGCAACTGTGATTCTTGGGGGTATTGATTTGTCCATTGAAGCTGAGAGCTTGGACAGAGTTGATCTTCTTCTTCCGGGTTTCCAAACTCAGCTCATCCAACAAGTTGCAGCTGTCTCTAAGGGCCCTGTTGTTCTTGTCATCATGTCGGCTGGTGGCATCGACATCTCTTTCGCTAAGAATAATCCCAACATCAAAGCTATTGTCTGGGCTGGTTATCCCGGCGAAGAGGGCGGCCGCGCCATCGCCGATGTTATCTTTGGAAAACACAACCCAGGTCAGAATGAAAAAACTTATTGTGGTTCTAACTTGCTTAACAATTAAATTTGAGCTAAGACTTTGTTGTATGGTCTCAGGAGGAAGATTACCAGTGACATGGCATGAAGCCGACTACGTCAACCAGCTACCAATGACATCAATGCCGCTCCGCCCAGTGACAAGCCTCGGCTATCCAGGAAGAACCTACAAATTCTTCGACGGCCCTGTCGTCTACCCCTTCGGCTACGGCCTCAGCTACACCTCTTTCAACCACACTCTTGTCTCCGCCATCCCATCCCTCACCGTCAATATCAACAAAGCAATCCTATGCCGAGACATTGCCTACGACACTGCCGTAAAGCTCGACTGCGCCTCCGTCCTCGTCGACGACATAACTTGCTCCGACGAGTTCGAGTTCGAAATCAAAGTCGAGAATGTCGGCAAAAAGGACGGTAGCCAGGTTGTGATCGTGTACTCGAAACCACCAAGCGGAATTTCATCAACTCATATCAAGCAGGTGGTTGGGTTCCAGAGGGTGTTTTTGAAGGCTGGGGGCTTCCAATCGGTGAAATTTAAGTTGAATGCTTGTAAGAGCTTGGGGCTAATTGATTTCGGTGGCTACAATCTGCTGCCGGCGGGTGAGCACACCATTTTGGTGGGAGATGGAGCGGTTTCTTTCCCTGTGAAGCTTAGCTTCAATCGGGTTTAAGGTTCTATGTGTCCTCTATGGGTATTGCTTATGGATTGTGTAGAGGTTGTCCGTAGGGTTTAAGGTAAGTTAAGGGTCTTGTGTCGTAGGGTTAAGAAGTGGTTTTAAGAGTTAAACCATATTCTCTGCTGCCCTGAATAAATAGTTTCTTCTCTGCACTGAATAAATTGTTCGGAAGAAACTAATTTAAATAAAATATCAGTTAATGTTTAATCAAATGAATTATGATTGGATTAGTCATTATTACAATTATTTAATACCTTCATATCCCTTGAGAATTTTCATTAATATTTACCATAAAACCATATCTAATATTTATCATTTTCTTTCTTATTAGCTATTATAAGATTTGTCCCATCCCCCATCCTTCAATTTATTATTATTTTTTTAATAATTTTATTATTTCATTATCGTATACATAATTTTAAATTCCATGTATGGATAGGGAAATTAATTCATCGCCTAGAAAAACTTATTCGGAATGAATAAAGTGGGTAATAGATGGATTTTAAAATACATCTTCATAGATCACTAATGTAAAGAGACGCAAGGCAACATGGATGAACGACAACGACAGGATAGCTTCTAAGGGAAACAGAAGAAACAAACGTTTACCAAATAGATGTTATGAAATGTCCTTCAAGTGCTCTTATCTAACACGAGAGCAAAACAAAGGAAAGAAAAAAGAAAAGAAGAGAAGACTTCAGACTTTCAACAACCAAGGGGAAAGAATCGTGTGATTTTGTTTCCATTAAAAGAAGAAATTTATTCAGAAGTTTCATGGGGGACTTTCCTGGTTCTTGATTTCTTAGTTTTTCAAAGTAAAAGTCATAAACGAAAAAGAATGCTAGTTCTTGAATTCTCTGTCCAGAATGCAAAAAATTAGAATAATTTCTAATGAACAAGAATCTAAACTGGCTGTCCAAATATTAGCCTAAACAACAAGAAGCATGAAATGAAGATGTCATGAAAATAAATAAATGAATAAATAATTCTTAAATGACAAAGAATCTGAGGTTGGAGAGCAATTGAGCTTACCTCCCAAGACTGTCTCATTCGATTTCCTCTTCTCCAACGGTCCAAGACTTTTAGGTGGCCACAACTACGCACAAAAGAGATATCAGAAGCTATTTTAAGACGATGAGAGCAATTATAATGATAATAAATCGGAAAATCTAAAGCAACAATGCATAATAGATTTAGAAATATCACTGAAACATAAGGCTGCATCTATGAGGACTTGCTTAGAGTGTAGCTATTTGTATGAGTTATTGCTATCTCTTAGAGATCTATCATGCAAATCATATCGAATGAGGCAGTCTTTTGCCCCTTTGAGGACTACTTTTGGCTTATGCCTTATACTTTGTCTTCATGGATTTGCTAGATAACAAATAGTATTGCCCAAAGTTATTATCTTGCAAATGGTATTCTAAGTGCATAAATTTCAACTTTCACAACACCCTTCTGATAAGAGTTTCTAAAATCTGTGTTGAAAAGCAGAAAACTACTTTCCACGCAGTCTCCCAAACATAAGTCTCCTAAATTGTGCTCATATCTGATCTACTTGTGACCGTGAGATCCCACGTCAGTTGAAGAGGGGAACGAAACATTCCTTATAAGGGTGTAGAAACCTTTCCCTAACAAACGCGTTTTAAAACCGTAAGGCTGACGGCCATATGTAACAGCGGTGGGCTTGGGCTGTTACACTGACCCGACCAATTCAGGGAGCTGTTTTACCATAAGAAAAACTAAAATTCATTACTTTAGGACCATTCTTCAAGGCATCATCTATGAGATTTTACAACATTATACATTTTCAACTTCATTATCAGTATCTATTTGTACTCTGAATGCAAATAGAACACGGAACCACATAATCCCTGCATACTAGTAATGGATTTTTGTTATGTACAAGCATACTAGCATTGAATCAACAACCATTTTTCTTGATGGAAAGGAATTAGAACATTCATCTCACTTACCCTCCAGAATACTTTCCCTTGCAGAAGACCATATGGGACGGCCCCAAAATATCTTGAATCCTTTGAATCATACATATTATCTCCCTCTATCCAAACATGTCCCTTAGGAACCTAATTGAACACACGGTCAACAATTAAAAAACACACACAATTTACTAAACTCCAGAAAAAATGAAGCAAGTAAGAAGAATTCTAATCAGCCATACCACAACAGTTTCACACCAATCATTATTCTTCGGGTCTACAACATAGGTAACAGAATCACCTTCCATGCCCATCAAGCGCTTCGCCATTACTTTTCGATGGTTCTCAGGGGAACTCACGAGGACAATGTCTCCGCCGCCGACTCTGCCAAAACGAGTGGAGATTCGTTCGGCCAAGATGAAATCGCCGGTTAGGTTTAGAGTAGGGAGCAAGCTCACGCAGATCAACTCAACTAAGCCCTAAAAATGAGCGTTCTGAGACATTGATTTCAAAGACGAGCGGCGGTGCAGACGTATGTGGTTGCAACATGAAAGGAACTTCGCTAAGAAAACTGTTCCGGCCAATGCTTCTTCGGCTCTGGGTTAACTGCGACTGTTTTATCGGTCCCGCCATTTCTCTTCCCACCTTCGATTTTACCGTATACAGATGACCCAATGAAGCCCATGACGGAAGGTTGGTATTGGTTCATTGTTGCTTGCATCTTATTCTTATTGGGCCATAATAAGCCCAATTTAGTAAATTGGGCTTTCTTTTGATTTTATTGGGCCACATCGGGCCTAATCGGCCCATCTTTTTTCTTTTTATTTAGTATATGAAGCTCTAATTATTTTAAGTTGGTAAGAGCTAAATTGGCCAAAAAATTGAGCGTTGCTTAATTAATATTTAGGTCAGTTTAGTAGCTTTGATTTATTATTATTATTTTTAATTAATAATATAAAGTTTTTTTTTTTTTTTTTTTCTCCAAATGTTATAACATAAAATTTCTGGTTTGAATTAGAAATTCATAAGTTCAGACCAAAACAAAAATTTAGAACTTTGAAAAAATCAAATCTCAACTAAAATGTAACAAATTCTCAATTCAAACCATCTCAAATTCTCACTATATATAGAGTACCATAGTTAGGATTTCTTACTACTCAAACTCAAAACTACAATGGCTCAATCATCCATCCTTATTGTTTCCATTTTTGTGTTCTTTATTCTGTCTACTACTGCTAGACGTTTCCCGGGAAGAACACTCCTCCTTGATGATTCTTCCTCTATGAGCAACTTCACTTTTGTCTGTGATCCATCTCGATATGTCAATCTTGGGTTAGATATTTCTTCATTTCGCTTTTGTAATTCATCCCTCTCTTTTCCTGAGAGGACTAAGGATCTAGTAGATAGAATGACATTATCTGAGAAAGTTGCTCAACTTGGCCACCGTGCCTTTGGAGTTGCTCGCCTCGGTTTGCCACCGTACAATTGGTGGTCAGAGGCTCTTCATGGCGTCTCCAATGTTGGCCCTGGTACTCGATTTGATGATGTTGTGCCAGGTGCCACTAGCTTCCCAAATGTCATTTCCATGGCAGCATCTTTTAATGAAGCAATGTGGAAAACAATCGGTCAAGTAAGTCTCATAACTTTCGACCTAGAGAGGAAGTTACATTGCTACTAATAACTTAGCTAGATAATTGGACATTATGTTATTTTTTATTAGGTGGTTTCAACGGAAGCAAGAGCTATGTACAATCTTGGAAGAGCTGGATTGACATATTGGAGTCCAAATGTCAATGTAGTTCGAGATCCAAGATGGGGACGAACCCTGGAAACACCCGGCGAGGATCCTTTTGTGGTTGGCAAATATGCAGTGAACTATGTTAGAGGTCTCCAAGACGTGGAAGGAACTGAAAATGCCACCGATTTGAACTCTAGGCCTCTCAAGGTTTCTTCTTGTTGCAAGCACTATGCTGCTTATGATGTCGACAATTGGCTCGGGGTCGAACGCTACACTTTTGATGCTAAGGTTTATTAACGTTGATGTCTACACTTTTGATGCTACACTCGCAAGGTTTCTCCTCAATGCCTTATTGTTTATTAACGTTGTGGATTAGGTGACCGAACAAGACATGTTGGAGACATTCCTTAAGCCATTTGAGATGTGTGTTAAGGAAGGAGATGTCAGCAGTGTGATGTGTTCTTACAACAAAGTTCATGGCCTTCCAACTTGTGCTGATCCGGCTCTCTTGAAGGACACCATTAGAGGCGATTGGGACCTTCATGGGTATAAATAAAATAAAATGAAATAAAAAATGATCAATCAAACCATATAAATATATATTTATTTATTTTTTTTCTTCAGATACATTGTTTCAGACTGCGACTCAATTGAGGTTATGGTTGATCATCAACATTTTCTACAAGATACAAATGAAGATGCTGTTGCTCAAACTCTGAAAGCAGGCAAATTTATTTACTCTTTTTACAATTTCTTCTTTTGGGTAATGTTTTTTTTGTGTTGTTCTACAAAACCCATGAATCAATTTCGATTCTTTCATATGTAAATTTTCAGGGTTGGATTTGGATTGTGGTCAATTTTACCCAAATTTCACAGAAGACTCAGTAAGGCAAGGGAAAGTTAGCGTGAAGAACATTGACAAGTCTCTAAACTATCTCTACGTTGTTCTAATGAGACTTGGATTCTTCGATGGAAGCCCTAAGTTCCAATCACTTGGAAGCAGAGATATTTGCAATGACGAACACATTGAATTGGCCACTGAATCTGCCAGACAAGGAATTGTTCTTCTCAAGAATGATAATGACACTTTGCCTCTTGATACTTCTACTATCAAAACCTTGGCTGTTGTTGGACCCCATGCCAATGCTACCTCTGTCATGCTTGGCAATTATGCAGGTCAAATTCTTGCCCAAAACTCCTATTTTTTCAATCTGGGTAATGCCTCTGTTCTTCTTAAGTTCTGTTTTGTGTTGCAGGAGTGCCATGCCGAGTGAAATCTCCAATTGATGGGCTATCAGAATATGCAAAAGTGAACTACCAAATGGGTTGTGAGAATGTTGCTTGCAAAAACGATACCTTCATATTTGGAGCCATGGATGCGGCCAAGAACTCTGATGCAACTGTGATTCTTGGGGGTATTGATTTGTCCATTGAAGCTGAGAGCTTGGACAGAGTTGATCTTCTTCTTCCGGGTTTCCAAACTCAGCTCATCCAACAAGTTGCAGCTGTCTCTAAGGGCCCTGTTGTTCTTGTCATCATGTCGGCGGGTGGCATCGACATCTCTTTCGCTAAGAATAATCCCAACATCAAAGCTATTGTCTGGGCTGGTTATCCCGGCGAAGAGGGCGGCCGCGCCATCGCCGATGTTATCTTTGGAAAACACAACCCAGGTCAGAATGAAAAAACTTATTGTGGTTATAACTTGCTTGACAATTGAAACTGATTTTGTTGTCTGGTTCTAGGAGGAAGATTACCGTTGACATGGTATGAAGCCGACTACGTCAACCTGCTACCAATGACATCGATGCCGCTCCGGCCAGTGAAAAGCCTCGGCTATCCAGGAAGAACCTACAAATTCTACGACGGCCCTGTCGTCTACCCCTTCGGCTACGGCCTCAGCTACACCTCTTTCACCCATACTCTAGTCTCCGCCAACCGATCCCTCGCCGTCAATCTCGACAAAACAATCCAATGCCGAGACATTGCCTATGAGGACACTGCCTTCAAGCCCGACTGCGCCGCCGCCCTCGTCGACGACTTAACTTGCTCCAATGAGTTCGAGTTCGAAATCAAAGTCGAGAACAGTGGCAAAATGGACGGTAGTCAGGTTGTGATCGTGTACTCGAAACCACCAAGCGGAATTTCTTCGACTCACATCAAGCAGGTGGTTGGGTTCCAGAGGGTGTTTGTGGATGCTGGGGGGAATGAATCGGTGAAATTTAAGTTGAATGCTTGTAAGAGCTTGGGGCTAATTGATTTCAGTGGCTACAATCTGCTGCCGGCAGGTGGGCACACCATTGTGGTCGGAGATGGAGATGTTTCTTTCCCTTTGCAGCTTAGCTTCCATGGGAATTAAGGTTGTGTTTGTCCTTCGTGGGTATTGTTTATGGATTTTGTAGGGTTATCTGTAGGGTGTAGGGTAGGTTAGAGTCTTCTTGTGTAGGGTAATTAAGAAGTGGTTCTAGGAGATTAACCACATTATCTTCGGTGAATAATGTTAATAAAATCATAAATTGTTTAGAAGAAACCAATTTCCTCAATTTAACCCAATCATATTCATTTATAAAATTCGAATATTTTAAGATAAAGATACGTACAAATAATAACTAAATCTTGAGAATACTACCAATCAAATAAAAAATATTGACAGATTATTGATATCTCAAATATATTCTATAATTAATATATTCTTAAAATATTAACGGCAAAATAAACTAAGAATAAGAAGGATGGAGTTATTCTTAGTTTAAAATTATAATAAAGGCTTAACTCAAATAATTTATTTAAAAAATAAAATATCAAATCATGGTAGGTTAATTAGCATGTTTTGTCTGTGTATTAGCGTTCTATTTCAATCTCTATATTAATTTATACTTTCTATTTCAATCTCTATCTTAATTTCCTTCTATTTTAATCTCTATGCAGCTAAATTTATTTATTTATAAACTTCTTCCTTCAATAAATTTCTTCATTCAATTTTAGTAGGTTTTCTTTCGTAAAAAACAATATTAATTAAAATAAAATTATTTGATAATTTCTATTTACATTTATTTGACATTAAAAAAATAAAAAAATAAAAAAAACATCCTATAAGCAAAAATTATATAATTATAATATATAAGGTTAAAATTTAATTATATTTTAATCCTGAAATTTTCAAAAAAGTGTTCAATTCTTTTAATTATTTAATTTATTTCTATTAGTTACTATTAAAAAAAATGTTTTATTTCTGTATCACTCAATGAATAATCCAATTATTTACAACTTTCAATTATTTTCAATTATGGATATAACTTTCAATCATTTAAATTGCACACAAAAAAATGGAAATAATTAGAATAATATGAACTTGATAAAATAAGATAAGAATTTGTCGTTTGAATTAGAAATTTTGTTAAGTTTAAACCAAAACAAAAGGTTCTAACTCAAAATGAAATTTTATTTGGATAATGATTTGAAATTAATATTTCTATTTAGATAATATTTGAAATTAATATTTTGTTTATGGCTAATTTTATTTAGATAATATTTGAAATTAATATTTTGTTTATGACTAATTTAATTTTATTTAGATAATATTTGAAATTAATATTTTGTTTATGACTAATTTAATTTTATTTAGATAATATTTGAAATTAATATTTTATTTATGACTAATTTTATTTTATTTAGATAATATTTGAAATTAATATTTTATTTATGACTAATTT